GAGCCGTGCTTACCTCGCCCGTGTGCAGCCCCACCAAGAAGAGCCCTGGCTCGCTGGCCTTGAGCAGACGGTAGGACAGCCAGGCGTTCTGTCCTGAGTCTCTGTCCACCGCCACCACCTTGGTCACCAGATAGCCAGGCTCTGCTGAGCGGGGCGCCAGCTCCACTCCAGTGGAACCGTCCGTAGGGAGAGAGGGGTACAAGATTTCGGGGGCATTGTCATTCTGATCCAGCACGAACAGGTTCAGTGACACGTTGCTGCTGAGCGGCGGGGCCCCCCCGTCCCCGGGGCTGCAGGTCTCTCAAGTGCTCGTAGTCAAAGGACTGCAATGCGTACAGGACACCAGTGTCCGAGTTGATGGAGACGTAAGAGGACAGGGGCACGCCCTGGTAGGTGTCCTCAGCTAGGGAGTAAGTGACTTGGGCATTCTTGTCACTGTCGGGGTCGTGGGCGGTCACGGACGCGATGGAGGCCCCTCTGGGATTGTTCTCCGGGATGTAGGCCCAGTAGGAGGCCTGAGGAAAAACGGGCGGGTTGTCGTTCGTGTCAGCTACATTCAGCGAGAGGTGAGTTTCTGTTGACAGGGGCGGACTTCCCCTGTCAGTGGCGGTCACTGTGATGTTGTAGCCAGGAACCTGTTCTCGGTCTAGGACTGTGTCTGTGACTAATCTATAGTAGTTTCCGTAAGATTTCTCTAATTTAAAGGGCAGATTTTCTTGGATGGAACAGATTACCTGTCCATTTTCCCCTGAGTCTTGGTCATTTACATTTATCAGGGCTATTAATGTCCCTCGGGGAGAGTTTTCTGGAACTGAATTGGTGAGGGAGGTGATGGCTACTTCAGGGGCATTGTCGTTCACATCCAGAACTGTGACGAGGACTTTGGCCCGTGCAGAATATCCCGCGTTATCGGTTGCTTGCACTTCCATCTCATAGAAACCCGATTCTTCATGGTTCAGCTCCCCTGTTGTTGATATTGTCCCCAAATTACTGTCCAGCTTGAAAACTTTAGCTGCCTTGTCGTCCACGTACCGGAAGGAATACATCACTTCCGCATTGGCTCCTTCGTCCGGGTCGGTGGCATTGACTAGCAGCAGCTGAGTGCCCACAGCCACGTTCTCCCGCACACTCACGCGGTACTCGGACCGAGCAAACACAGGTGCGTTGTCATTCACATCCACAACCATCACGCGG